TGATCTCGAACTCTTGATTGAAACTTCTTGGTCTCATGCTAAGCTTTCCGGATTAGCGAGGGCCGATCTGTGCAGGAGCGTGAAGACGATCGGAGGGTCGAATGCTGCTCATAACTAGTGACGTTAGCTGCAGCTTAAACTGATCTTCTATCCACTTCTCTCTCTCTCTCTTTCTCTCTCTCGCTCTCTTTTCTTCTCTCTCTCTTCATCTCCGCTCTCTCTCTCTCTCTCTGCTCTCATCTCTCTCCTCCTCTCTCTCTTCGCTCTCTTATTTCTTCTGTCTCTGCTCTCTCTTTCTCTCTCTTTCACTTTCTCTCTTTCCTCTCGCTCTCTCTCTGTCTCTTCCTCCTCTCTCTTCCCATTCTCTTCTTCGCTCCTCATCTCTCTCTCTGCTCCTCTCTCCTCTCTCATCTCTCTCTCTCTCTCTCTCTCTCTCTCTCTCTCTCTCTCTCTTCCTCTCTCTTCTCTTTCTCTCTCTCTCTCTCTCTCTCGCTCTCTCGCTCTCTCCTCCTTCTGTTGTCTCTGTTCTGTCTGTCTCCTCTCGCTCTCGCTCTTCTCTGTGTGTTCTCTGGTTTCTCTGTCTCTGTCGTCTCTTCTCTCTCTCTCTCTTCTCTCTGCGTCGCTTCTCTCTCTATCTCTCTCTCTTCTCTCTCTCTTCTCTTTCTCTTCTCTTCTCTCTCTCTCTCTTCTCTTGCTCCTCTCTCTCCTCTCTCTGTCTCTCTCTCTCTCTCTCTCTCTCTCTCTCTCTTTCTTCTTCTTCTCTCTCTCTTCTCTTGCTCTCTCTCTCTCTCTTCTTTCTGTCGTTGTCTGTCTGGCTCTGTCTGTCTGTCTGGCTTCTGTTGTCTTCGTCTGTCTGTCTGATCTGTCTGTCTGTCTGTTGTTGTCTGTGTCTGTGTGTCTGTCTGTCTGTCTTGTCTTCTCTCTCTTCTCTTTATCTTTCCTTTATCTTATTTAACCTCCTCATCCTCCCCTCTCCGAGCATCGATTTGTGGCAGATCGGCGAGGGATATTAACGTCGATCGCGTCATCCCATAGGTTACCCCGGCTCGCGATAGCAGCGTCCGCAGCTAGCAGCAACCGATACCGAATCATGAAAATTTTGGGGGGTGGGGGGGGCCCGGTGATTACCGTAGTATTTGGACGCTCGTAGTATTTGGACCCTCGTAAGCGATGCTCTTTTGTTTTCTCTTTTTTCTTTGTTTTATAATCTTGTTTGCACGCCGTTAGGGAATTAACATGAGCTCTTTTGTTTTCTTTTGTTCGCTCTTGTAAGCCTGACACAATAACACTGATCTACTAAGACTACATCATTGCAATTGTTTAAAATCAAAATGTTCCATCAGTACGGGAAGTCGCATGTTTGTTTTATTGCGACCTTGTCGAAGGCCAGATGCCGTCAGAGACTACTGCGCATATTGCGATCAATGCGCTGTGTGTTGCCTGTGCAAAACAAGAGGAGCTAGCGCGCATGCCACTTGAGAGAGCGTCATTTCGGCGACGTCCAATACTACTCGTACACACACTCTGCTCCAGCCATGACCAGAGCACAGTTTCGCGGCGGTGGCGGGTGACAGCGGGAGGAGCGGGCGGGGAGGGTTAGGGTTAGGGTTAGGGTTAGGATTATCAATCATTAATCATTAATCATTAATGATATCAAAGTTGGGAACACTCCTAATGGAGAGTTAGCCGCTATCCAGGTTGAAAAATTACAAAATAATTCATACACAGTAACTCTGCATTACTACTCTAACTGGTAACACCTACCATGACAAAGTGTTAGTGCTGTGGCACAAGTTTACTGTACTGTGTGTCACCAGGCACAGGTTTATTGCACTATGACACAGAAATGAGTAGATTAGTAGATAAAGCTAACGACCGGCTTATTCAAATCGGCGTTCCAAACCATCGAAGCTGCTGAACCACAGGATTATGCATTAGTGAGGTTTAATCTGTTTTACTGATACTGATAGGGAAGTAGGGATTTAGGATGACATGCCCTAGTTGCTTTTTCTCGTAGTAGTAGAATACGACTAAGGGCAACACCATGAGATTGAACCCTAAGCCCCCAGACTCCCTCCCACAACCCTAACCACGACTCTGATCCTCACCCTAACATCAGCCTAAGCTTAACCAACCATAGCTTAAAATACAAGAGTATTCGGCGCACTGCAGACAATAAGGGGATCAGGAAATGCCAGTCCGTACACATTGCTGGGCTTGAGTGTATCTACATTAAGTTACGGGGCGAAACAGATTTATGTTGGGGCCGCACTAGTGATGCATATGTGGTCATGACGTATTTGCTGGCGAGATTCTGTACGTCATTATAATGCAGTGTCCAATGTCCATCCATTCCAGATGCCCACTGCGTGTATGCGCATACCTCCCCACACTTGCTCTCAGCATCTCGATTTCAAAGGTCACATTGTCACTTGCCCCGAACATCTGCAATACACACTGCTGGCTTCAGTCACAGCCGGCGTCGATGCAGAGTGAGCGTGCACCGTACCATTGCCTTTTGCGCGTCCGCCGTTGCCAGATGCAGTTACGTGTCGATACGTTGCATACAAAAGCCGACTCCGCACCATTATGAGAATTGGCGAGTGCATAATGTAACACTGGATCGCTACCGGGCGACGAACATACCACGCGATGAACATACCACGCGTCCAGATATGTACTGACCACACAGACTCGACAGAATCAGGTTACCGGTGGGACTAGGCTCTGAGGGTGCCGGTAAATCGGTGGCAATTCTCACCCAACAAGTATCATGAGAGCTCGCATTCAAATCAGGCAGCCCACTGTACCTCACCGCGAATGTACGCGTTGTGCCGTACCTCACTGCCAATGTATGCAGCATGCTGTACATCACTGCCAATGTATGCAGCATGCTGTACATCACTGCCAATGTATGCAGCACGCTGTACATCACTGCCAATGTATGCGGTGCGCTGTACCTTACCACCAATGTACGTGGCACGCTGTACCTCACCACCAATGTACGCGGTACGCTGTACCTCACTACCAATGTACGAGGTACGCTGTACCTCGCCGTTGATCTTGGTGATGTGCTGTGCCTTGCCACCGGCGTACGTGGCGCGCTGTACCTCACCCTTAATGTAGCTGACACACTGTACTGCAATGTCAACGTAGTTGACGCACCGTACGTACCACACCGTTAAGGTATGTGACATGCTATAGTACCGCACCATTAATGTATGCAGAGCCCTGTACCATGCCGTTAACGTATGCAGTGCACTGTACCATAATGTTAATGTACGGAACACGCAGTACCACAATGTTAACATAGGTGACGCGCTGTACCACACCATTAATGTATGCGGCGTGCTATACTGCACCGTTAATGTATGCAGCACGTTGTACCACAATGTTAATATGGGTGGCGTACTGTACCACGCCATTAATGTACGCAGTGTGCTGTACCACACCGTTACCACATGGGGCACGCTGTAGCGCACCGTTAACGTACAGAACATGCTGTACCACAATGTTAACGTAGGTGACGCACTATACCACGCTGCTAATGTATGTGGCGCGCTGTACCACACCTTACCGCATGTGGCACGCTGTACCGCACCGTTAACGTACATAACACGCTGTACCACAATGTTAACATAGGTGACGCGCTGTGCCACGCCGCTAACGCATGAGGCGCGCTGTACCACAATATTCACGCACGCGGCGCATCGTACAGCGGGCGCGTGAGGGACGGCTCATACCTTTGAGGAGGGGCAGCTTCTGCAGCTCGCGGTTCTTGCTGATGCTGAAGCGCGACATGCTCGGCCGCCTGTCCTTCTTCACGACGGGCGCCGGCGCCGGGTACTTGACCTTCGCCGCCTGCGTCGCAGCGGGCGTCTGGTTCGGCGGCGCGATCACCTTGCCGTTGGTCTTGTTTGCCTGAAACGACGCAAAGGGGGGAAAGTCCGTCGATCGGTCGGTCGTCGGGAGATTTTCGGCGGGGGAAATTCGCGACGAGAGAGGAAATACGACGACGAAGGAAGCGAGGATGGAGACATGTGCGATCGCCGACTCTACGCCAAAAAAAAATCTACGTCGAAGAAATCTACGATGAGACAAATCCACGATGAAGAAATCTACGATGTAGAAATCTACAATGAAGAAATTTACAGTATAGAAATCTACGATGAACCAATCTACAACGAGGAAATCTCTGATGTAGAAATCTACGATAAATAAACAGATCTACGATGGGGAAATCCGCCGACTAGCTTGTCACTAGCGTGGAAGTAAGAAATAGGCCTACACACTGACTGCACACAGTACACAGCATGGAAACTGCAATAAGATAATTTACAAATTTGCAGATTTTTACGCGTGTCTATAACATAATGGTAAGAGAGATCATTACTCTGCAAATTGCAATCACTTACTGTAGACAACACTGGTGGATATGGACAACAAGGAATTCTACCGATGTACAGATTTTTGAGTGCGATACTCTCGCATGGTATAGAACAACTCAATAAATGAGCACAAAGGCTAAAGTACATGTGTTACATACGTGCAGGCCACACTAGGCATGCGCCAAAGGGCTGTTGTAATTCAAATGGCGAGCTTCTATTGGCAAACACTGTTCGTCAGCTTTAATGAGTGGCACGCATACAGTATTTCCTTGGTTATTTTCGATACTACGTTAATGCGCACTTCATTTTCATCGATTTGTGAAACTCTTCATGGGTACGTACAATCTACCAGTTTAGTGATCCTTATAATCAATATCAACTTGCCTATCTCTAGTTCGTGCTTGTAAAATAAATAAAATCTAACCAGTGATAAGGACATTGAGGTATGACACTTTTGCAAGCATGCATGTACTGTGTGGGATGTTGCATCTACAATGGCGTGGGTTTGAGGACCACAGCAGTTGTATACTATGTGATGCAAAAAGTAAAGAAAAACTAGTACACATTCATGAGAATACTGGCACGAAACAGGTTACTTTGCATTTGCCAATTGTACGATAATCCACATGAAAAGAGAGAGGGTCTTTGGTTGAAAAAGATTACTTTTTCAATATGTACATGTAAGAATAAGAAGTGAGGGTTCGTTATCCTAGCTACCTCTGAATGATTGCAAGTATAAGTAAGAACTTTTCCTCATCAATCATAATCAATCCCCTGACAACCAGCCTACATGTTAAAAAGGTGGTTTGCTTACTACTTCGCAAAATTGTTGCGTCCCTACCTTTCAATTGTTCTAACCTTCATAATAAAGTTTAAATCCCTCAAATTGCCTAGAAATTTAACCCAACAATTGAATACAATCGTTCGCTAATTGTATTACAAAAATATTTTTATTATAATTTGCACTATTATTTTTTTCTTGTTATTACGAATACCTATTATAGTACTTTATTGTGTGTATACAAGAGTGAGGTTATTGTAAATAAGACTCAACTGTGAGTACATATTATTATTACCTCTTCCACATTTTCAGTATTTTCCTTTCCATTAGGCTTGGTGTTTATAGTAGGGCCTTTCGAATTGGCCTGAAATAAAACAATATATGACATTTAAAACCAACACAAAATGAATATATTGAGTATAGGTATGGCATGACAGAAACTACCTGAACCTTGTGTAAGTTCACTGAAACTACAAGTATAATGCTACTCAGACTAATATATAATTTTGTACATAACGTGTGACATTAGGGCTAATTTTTTTCCAAGTTCTGAGCTTACCCACTAAACTCTGCTGGGTTTCTCAGCACGAAATATGCTGGTCGATCATGTATAGAGACTAAACTGTTCCAACTAAACCAAAATATGAAAACTAAATAAACTTGCATTGATAATTTTATTTGCTCTGGGCTCTGTCATGCTAACATTGCAATTACTGACAGTATGATTGATTATAAGAAAAGGCTTTGTAAGATCATTCCATTTGCTAAACAAAATCCACTGTGTTTTTGGTTACTCAACTGAGCCAAGTTATTTCTGATGATCCTAGTGTGGTTTTTATTGTATCGTCAAAACAAGAGAAAATTTCACCCCTCACTCACAAATACGTCAACACAATCTTGTCATGTCACTTTTCTCCTATGATGAATGTAATACTGGCCCTCATCCCCTTCTCACCGCTACTTACAAAATAGAGTTTTCGCCACAAACCGTTTTGCCCAGCTAGGCCGCCCAGTGCACCCACCTATATTTTTGTGATGCTATTCAAACTAAAGAAACACCCACCATAAATAACCAAGCGCTACAGAGTAAAACTAAGATTTCTAGCATGGGCCGTGTTTGTCGTTGGTGCCTAGACGTGTGTGAGTGCAACAAGTAGTTTACGCCTGTGTTTATTTACACAAGAAGTATCGCGTGAAGTATGAATGTACGGGGATGATGGGCACTGGAGGGGAAAGAGTTTAGAAAAAAGAACGGATTTACAGTTCATTCTACAACAAACCACGTTTAACTCACCAAGAAGAAATGGTCTACTTATTTTACAAAGCATTTTTCACAATAGACATTCACTGACTTACCTTCCCTAACTTTCAATTCAACATAAACAGAAATTGGTAACACAAATGTTCTTGTGTGCCCATATTGTGAGGGTTCCTCTGCATAATCCCAGTAGTGGTTACAACTTTAAACACTCTGGCTTCATAACAAGTCCCTAATCAATCATTTGGTAATGTACCAATTACATGGCTGTCGTGAAGACTGGTAAACACATGCTCATGTTCTTTTGACATCGAAAATTGTGTAGGTTTTTAGGTTTTTACTCCACATCGAGCAGTACAAAATGCCATACATTTGCGAATAGGTTTCACAGATGCTAATAATCTGTGTTATCTTACAATCCAGAAGATGCCCAAGCCCTATTTACTCTGAGAAGAAAACACAATACATGTGCTACAACCAGCACTCAAATGCGCAGCCCTCTGTGAACCAGAACCGTCTGATGACTTCCAGTACCTAGGCTCCTGGGTTGATAGTTCGAGGAGGGATGTGAAAATCAGGAAAGCTAAGCCACTGATGTACTCAATAATGCTAGGCAAGTTAGAGCTACATTGAGGATGCTGTCAATGACCCGGGTGCACCCGAATGAAGAAGAAGAAGATGATGATGATGATGATGATGATGATGATGATGATGATGATGATGATGATGATGATGATGATGATTATGATGATCTTACAGTTACACTCAGATAACCATTGGACTGAACTTTTTCAATTTTTAAACAATCATCAATATATCATTTAGGAACAATCATCAAATCCATTACAGGGCAGGTGCACTATGTCATTCAATGCTAAAAATAGTATTTTGCTCAAAATGGTAAATTACGAAGAAGTTGAAAGGAGGGTTACCACGTAAAGAAAGGTTGCAGCTGGGATGCAGTCATACTTGGTGAATAGCAAGGCATTTGTTATATAGAACTCTGCTCCAATACTTAGCCAATCACCAGCGGAGACTCTAAATGGTAGTCTAATTAGAGCAGGACTTTAACCCATTTATAGCCCACCTGCTGCAATTCAGCTTAAAATTGCAGAACATATCTATTGGCCTGTGCAAAGTAGTAAGGTATATGCATACCAAACTCCAACCCCATTTTAACGTTTATTGCATTGATTGGACATCACTTGGCAATACACAAGTGTGATGCATGCTTATGACGGAAAGTTAAATCGTGCAAATCTAGATTTCGTTTTGCAAATTGCCAAGTGAAACCCTCATTGGTGGCTGCATGCTAACAAACATAACATCCTGACAGAGTACCAACACAGTTTACATGTATCGGAACATCCGAAAGACTCAAGCACTGCACAAAACTACAAAGTAGGCAAAGTTTCAGGTAAGTTTAGTTTATAATTATAGTTTATACCCATATAGACACAGAGTGATTAAAATATGTATATATATGTATTTAGAATGTATGACACTGACATGAAAAGGGCTATGTACATCCTCATATTATCATGTACAGAAAACCTTATGTTCATGGATATAAGCGCTGACCACAATTCATTTTCGTAAATGTGTGACATGTGCAATTGTGCAAATGTGGACAGCTCTTATATCCTGGGGCCATAACTTCCATTATTAATGATTAGGGTACAGAAGAAAAACATGATATTGTTATTGATAATTAATTCTTGGGAAGTATGGTGAACTGATAATACTAATTACTATAACTACTGTCTGATAATATATAAGTGTAGAGTTTCATGCTCTCGTGTCTATTACGTAACACCTAGTATGTATCAAGAGCTAATAAACACCAATAAGAGGTATTTATTAGCTCTTGGTATGCATATGCATCATCATGCATGCACGAATGCATGCATGTATGTATGTATGCATGTATGTATGTATGTATGTATGAACGGGAACCTTTAGATCGGTGTTTCCCTTTATATTTTCGTTAGTTTTCCACCGATAATTTCACTTTACCGGGAGATTTTGTTCCGGAGCTTCCTGGCTGATTTTAAGTAATGTTTAACCTGCTCTACCCAATCCCCATGGCCATAACATAGATGTTCATTTAGCCCCAAGATAGTGAGCATCACCTGCCTCTTCTCCAGCTGTGCAGGGGTGACCCCCACTTCTTGGAGCCTGTCCCACATGATCTTCCTTAGGTGTTTGTATGCCGGGCAAACTAACAGGAAATGCTTTAGGCCTTCTCAGCTTCTGGTTCTCCCTTATATTGCACACAGTGCAATTTTCTTCCCCTAACCATCTCCTGGTTCTTTTATTTACGGAGAGGCATCCCACTCTAGATACATTCGTACAGCAGCTTACTGCCGATTTTATTATTATTGTAAAAGGTTTCTTGTTTAGGAAATGTTTTCCCTTTATATAGCTCTAGTGTGCTTTTATTTACCATCCCCTTTCTCCATCTGACTGTGCTGCCTTTTGTAGTGATTTTCTCCACCGAATTGTTCCATGATTCGCTGTTTTCCCAGTCTCTATTTATCAATAACTGTTCTTCGTCATACTTTCCCCCCAGGAATTTTACTCGTCTATTCCAACCCGACGTAAAATTTCCTGCACTGATATCTTCCGCTATTCCCCTGCATTTCCTCTCTTCATCCATATAATTTAATCTCCCTAAATATTTAAGTTTGCTCTTCGCTTCTCTATCCTCAAAGGTGGACCAGCAAAGCTCCCCCCTTATTGTTTCAATACCCGCGTAAGGTGGGGCACCTAATGCTAGCCGCACACTATCCGACCCGAGCGCGATCGGGAGGCTTACGTTTGGATCGGGAGGCTTAAGTTTGGCTCGGGAGGTGATTTTAGCCCGATTCGAATTTTGAATCGGGAGCGGAGCGGGTCTTATAGTGTGCGAGGGCTTACGACGCGACTCGGATAGTGTGCGTGGCCATCCGACCCGCTCGGTAAGTGCTGAAGAAAATTGACCAATCACAGAGCAGCGCCATGGGAACCGCATTCGGTAAAAATGGCGGGAAAACACTCCCGACCCTTAGTACACGCTAAATCCGCTTGGAACGCCACGAGAGTGCCATGGTTTGCGCCAACTTTGAGTCGGACAGTGTGCGGGGGCCTCCCGATCGATCGGGAGCAGGTCG